CCTGGGTGACCCAGGCAGGAGGGTCCTAGTCGCATTGGCCTGGCTGCCCGGCCGGGGGGCTGGTAGCCCAGCTTCAAAAAAGTAAAAATTAAAAAAAAGAACCAAAATTTCAAATTTGCATTCAAATAGTAAATTAAATTCTAATTCCTTTTTCCTTATCGGTGGAACATGCTTTGGCCTTGTGCTATGTATGACCTTGTGTTTTTTTTTTTGTGCATCTTTCGATTCGATCAGGGCAATTGGAACTTCTTTGCCGCAACAAAGGACAAAAGAGACACGAGGAACGATGCCACTCATTTGGAGAAAGCGAAGGAGCTTTATCAGAGGGTGCGTACGATCAGTGTGCCTTTGCCAGGCAGTGACAGCCACACATCCTTTTGTTGCCTTGACATGATGTTGGTATCAACAATCATATCAGAGTTGGACGCTGCCGTGCTGTTTTCCGTGCCATGCCGTCCATGTTTGTAGATGTAAATATAGGGCTCATGTAAGCCTTGGGCGCCGGGCCTGAGTAGTGAATTCTGTTGGTTAAAAAAGCAATGAAAACAAACAAAAAAAAGGGGTACTACAAACTACATACTACATACTAAATATAGTGAGTAGAGGGAGATCCATAAGGAGAAAAAAATTGTGATGGATATGTTTGTGGATAATGTCTGGTCGTTTTTTTTTAATATATGATAGATTTTTTTAAATATATTTAATATATGATAGATGTCATCGTAGAGGACGCTCCTGGATGTATCTGACTGCATTTACAGCTGGTCATGGATGCACCTGACCGCAGTCACATCCAAAAAGCAGTCAAGAAAATAAAGGCCCTGTCTGAGGATATTTTTGTGCCAACTTTGTGGAGAAAGCTGCTCGCTGACGCCAATGTCCGTTTTGGACCGAAGTAGTCCGAGAAGGCAATGCTGTCCTACTGTACCCCCGTTGTTGTTTTTTTTTTTGGTACTGTGCACTTTTCGTGTTCGCCGCTGCCGCCGCCGCCTCCTTTTATTGTTTTTTTTTTTTCGAGTCTTCACCTCCAGTCGTCAAAAGTTCAATACAGTTGTGAGCTGTCATTTGCTCGTCTCCAGAGTACCTGCGTCTTCCCCCTGAAAATAATGTACGATCATTGTAGCTGTATTTGGGGCAACGTTCAGTCTAGATGCGGTGATAATGACTGTACACCTAGGCTACCAGCCGGGCCGCCTGGGTCACCCTATTTTCCCGGACGGCCCGGCCGTGCAAGGACCAGGGAAGGTCCTAGCAGAAAAAAATAATTAAAGAAAAGATCAAAAAAATTCGAAAAAAAAAAATGTTATGCAGAAAAATAGACTGAACAACGCTTGCCTCAGGGTCACATCGAAATTCTTTACCAAATTTAAAATAAAAAATAGTTTAAAAATAATTTTTATTTTTTTTATTATTTTTTGGCCCCGGGCCACTCTGGTAGCCTAGCCGTACACTCCATTCCGGGGAAGGTGGAAGCCGCCGAACAGGGTTTTGAATCTTTTGATCTCGTGATTTTTTTTATTTTTGATTTTTTAATCGAGGTGCCATTGTCAGACCGACCGAGTACACGCACTCGGCATTGTTTTTTTCTTTTTTTTTTGCTGTGAACCAACCAGGTGCTCTTCTTTCCTACACGGTCTCCTTTTTTTTTCTTTTTGTTTTGTTCCCCGGCCCCCTTTGTTGCTAAAAAGGCGTCAGCCTGATCTGCTGATAAACAGACGGCAGTGACGGAACAGTACACCATGAACCGCTGCTCATAAACAGGCTTTTTTTTTTTTTTTCCTGGTCATAAACAGGCTTCTTTTTTTTTTTTTTTTACTGCTCATAAACAGACTTAAGTTCGAATCCAGATATAATTTTGCTGAGTAAAATAGAATAGAATTTGCTGAGTAGAATAACCCTGAACTTACGTGGGGCTGGTCAGTTCGGTTATGCCATCTCAAGGCCCGCATTTGGGGAGAAAAAGGGAAAGAAAAACAGAAAGGAAGAGTGAGACCGTTTTTTTTTTTTTTTGTAGTCATTGGGATTTGAAGTCTGAAGTCGGAAGTCATAAGTAAGGATCTACTAACTAACAGAAACTAGCTGAGTTTAAATTGGAACGATACAGAGAAGATTAGCATGGCCCCTGCGCAAGGATGACACGTATAAATCGAGAAATGGTCCAAATAAAAAAAAAAAAAAAAAAAAAAAAAAAAAAA